TGGGCCCGTCCTTTAATTGGAGACTAAGACACACAAAAACAAAAATAACACCCCTCCCACCAGTTAGCACTGATACAACTATATTTCATTAAATTAATATAATAAATATATAAATATTAATTTATACATGCTGAATATGTTATTTATTTCACAATACTCATAAGCAAGGCAGAGATAGTGATATGCTTCCTGAGAGCTTAACTATGATAGAGGAATTGCTGTTATCAATGGGTGGCACATACATTTGTCTCACTTCCTCCCTAATTTAAATTTTCTTATTTTATGGATATGTAAAGCATGACTAAGTCCCTTTGTACCAAAAATGTCTTCTCTCTCCAATAAGGTACACTCCAATTCTAGCAAGCAGGAATAATTTCAAAGGGTGCTAACAGTCCAACGCTTATTTTGTTACTGGAGAATAGGCAATGAATTAAAAATAAAAATGGAAAGATAATTTTCCAGCCAAATCATCCTGACTTTCATGAGTACTAATGAAAGAATAAGTTTAAGACACATTACCTCAGAGATAAGATCCAAGATAATCTTGATACATTCCACAACTCTATCAGGTTTTCCACCAATAAGCACGACTCTATCAGTGGAATGAGGACAACATTCTTGAAAGAGCTTAATGGTGGTTTGAGTATTCTGTTGAATAGAAGAAAAGCAACCCCCAAAATTTTCAAACAGAAGTATTTGAAACAATTTTATAAACTTGAAAACAAAATGGGGAAGACACACACTAAAATATTTTAAAAGAAACAGTCAAATCATTCAACTTCTAGTCACTTTAAGTGAATGCTTGGCTTCCACGTTTTTACAACAAATTTAATCTTAAAATATTGTATTTTTAATACCTGCAATGGCATCAGTTGGTATGAAATGCTAGTGAAAAATTTAGATTTTTGAAGTCTTTTAATTATGGCTCATCTACACGGTTATTTAATCAAATACAAGCAAAAGGACCACATATTCATTATAAGCTTACAGGTTATATAAGCCTTCATATGTCATAAAAACATGCTTTGGATGCAAGACAGCAATGTTGCTAGGATTATGTCTAGTCATCTTGCCTTTCCCTCATTCCACACAAATAGTAACTTATGCCTAAACGGACCTGGAATTGCCTTTGATGCAATGTGAGGAAAGGACAGAAAAGAATACTCTAGATTGATAGAGACCACTAGCTTTTTAAGACAAAACCTCATTCCTTCACAAAGGAAAAAGTGGCCTTTAAGGTAGTGAAAGTTAAAATACCCAAAAACTAAACAAACAAAACCCTAAGAAAACCCCACCATACTTTTTATAACAATATTCAAACATCTATTAAATTATCATTAAATAGTTTATGGAGATCTATTCACTCTAAATAGTTTTCTATGTCTAACACCATCGATATAGCCTATTTAGCAGTTCCTGATGAATGGCATTTTAATTTAAAAAAGTATCCTTTATTTATAAAGATTACTGCTAATACACTTAAAAGCTTTATAAGTAGTTCTGGGCTCTATCACCAATGGCTACTTCATGTATGAAATATGTTCTTAAGGATCTCATAGATCACCAATGAAGCTAACACTCACAGCATATGAACACAAAAATTAATTTGTTTATAGAAGAAAAGCAGAATCTGAAAATAGGAAACAGTACCTCTCTGAGTTCTTTGATTTTA